CGGGCTCCGAACCGCGCTGCAGCCAATCGGCGCCGCCGGGGGGGCCGGAGGTTGCGGGTGGCTGCCCCCCTGGCGGCCCGGGCAGGTGTCTGTGCCAGGGAGAGCAGGGCGCCGCTGCTGGCTTGCTGGCTTCCCGGGCTTGTGGCAGTGTCACCCCAAGCCCTTTACCCCTTAGCCTCCACAATCGATCCTCAGTCTTGCCACAAATACAGGCGTCCAGTAACCGACAGAGACAGGCCTCACGCTCAGCAGGGACACAGACACTCTCAGAAGGGACACATTCTAAGTGACCTGCACAGAGTCCTCGGAATTCAGTCGCGCACACAGGAAGACCCTCAGATTAACACAGGAACCCGTAGAGAAGCTCAAACAGGCACCCACACTTACGCGTTCAGTCTGCAAGATCTACCACAGGCGCCTCAGACTCAGACATCCGGACAGATACACCCACAAAGTCACTCACTCGTGGCCACTTGGATAAACAAATCCACAGACACACTGAGATCCTCAGTCTCATCCAAGAGACATTTAGGCAGATACACCCACTGGCCCGATGACAGGGTCTACCTCACAGTGACCTACAGTCACCTTCAACACTCAGCCTGCCTCCTCAAAGAGACCCTCAGGTCACACACACACACACACACACACACACACGAAGTTCAGGTGGGCCCATACACTCTCATACCCCATGCTTGTTCACAGATACCCTGAAAGAGACATCTAGGGTTCACACACAGACATGCATACACTCAAATGAGCACACCCTCACACAAGACACACAGAGATGCTCAGGGTCACCCTGGCATCAACACCCTCAGCACTGATTGACCTGCATAGCCATTCAAAATCTCACACACAAACACTCTGACAGTACACCCACAGACACCCTCAGATACGCTCAGATGAACACATTCTCTCAGGCCCACAGAATGTATGTTTGTTATTTTTATACCACTAAGTCCCCGGGTAATACTTTATGCCCCAATGGAGCAATGATTTGAGCAAGTGAATTAGCCTCTTCTGATCCTCAATTTCTTCTGTTGTAAAATGGGATGATGCCTCACTGTGTGAAAGTCCTTGGACTTAAAGAAAGTGCTCTGTAAGTGTGAGCCACTTAAAAAACAGAATCAGGCATCCAGAGCTGGAAGGCATCTGAAAGACAATCTACCCCGCTCATTTGGGAGACAGGGGCTCAGAAAGTGCCGGGGCTGCCTAAAGCCACATATATAGTCCATCGAGCAGAGCTGTTGCCAAATTGAAATGGCCTAAACTGGTTCAGTTCCTACTGTGCTACCTGCTTATGTAGGAGTGAGAGGTGGGGGGTCCCCAAGGTTAATGCAGATGAGGCTGGCAGTATAGAAGAAGAAAGGCAGCCAATTGAAAGCAGAGTCTCTGGCTAACCATAGAGGAAGTGGAAGATTTCCTCTTTCTTAGTTGGCTGAAGTCTAAAATTCCACCATTGAGGCTTGGCTGTATCAGTTGAAATCTGTGAATCCTCTTAACTATGGACTTTCCCCATGGGAGATGTAAGTTGGCCTGCTACTTGCACCTGAGCATAAATAATGTGTCCTAAAAACAAGTTTGACTGTGGGGAGAATGCTTGAGATTGTGGATAGAGGGAATGGTGAATACAGAAGGGGAAAGGTTGGGAAACTAGAAAGAAACTTCCATTTTTGTATTGCTAGCCCATTGTGATGGAGGATTCCACAGAGCCAAGCGGCCTTACGTTGAAATGCCTGCCCTTAGTCTTAGTTGTATGGTTTTGGCAAGTCCCTGCAGGGTTCTCATGTCAAAATGGAGATAATTGATGCAAAGTCAAGGTGAAGATTAGATGTATATAAAATGCCTGGCATGTTTTATTTTTCCATTACTATCTAGTCGACTTTGATTCATAGCGACCCTATAGTACAGAACTGCCCTCATGGAATTTCCAAGAGTAAATTGCCACATCTTTCTCCCTCAAAGCAGCTTGGTAGGTTCAAAGCGCTGACCTTTTGGTTAGCAGCCAAGTGCCTTAATCAGTGCACCACCAGAACTCCTTTCCTGACATAGTGTGGTGATGGTGGTTGTGTGCCAGCAAGTCAGTTCTGACTCATAGCTACCCCGTATAGGGTTTCCGAGGCTATAAACCTTTATGGGAGCAGAAAGCCTCATCTTTCTCCAGCAGAACCACTGGTAGTTTCAAACTGCTGACTTTGACATTAGCAGCCCAACTCGTGACCACTACGCTACCAAACAGGAGCAGAAAGCCTCAACTTTCTCCCAAGGAGTAGCTGGTAGATTCGAACTGCTGACCTTGCAGTTAGCAGCCCCGCTCATAATCCACTATGCTACCAGGACCCCTTCCCTGGCATATGTTGTTGTGGTTAATTGCCATCTAGTTGGTTCCAACTTATACCGACCCTGTATAGGGTTTCTGAGGAACAGCCGGTGGGTGGGTTTGAAGTGCAGACCTTGTGGTTCAAACCAACCTTGTAGTCCAGTACATTATCCTACAGTGCCACACTTTAATGGATTCATTCATTAGTTAAATTTATATTCAACTCTAAAAATATAGGGATGAATAAAACACACCTGGCCCCTGCCTTCCTAGAGTTTATAGTCTGGTAATTTAAACAAAAAATTATACCATCATTATGTCATTACGACATGATATAGTGGTTTCATTATAATAACTTTAATTACAATTGTGATAACTGACATAAAGTTTGTTGTTATTGTTAAGTGCAGTCTAGTTGATTCCAACTCATAGGGTTTCTGAGGTTCTGCTGGTAGGTTTGAACCACCGACCTTGAGGTTAGCAGTCCATTGCTTATCCTACAGCATCACACCAGGACTGCCATAAAAGATACATATATAGATATAGGTAGACATACAGGAGTCCTGATGGCATAGTGACCATAAAGGTCAGCAGTTCAAACCTACCAGCAGCTCTGAGGAAGGAAGAGATTTACCGCCTCAGAAACACTGTGGAGATGCTCTACTGTGTCTTGTAGGGTCACTGTGAGTCATAATCGACTCAACAGCAGTGGGCTTGGGGATATTTAGATAAACATAAGGAACTCTGGAATCCTGGTGTGACCCTGCAGGATAATGCACTGGACTGCAAGGTCTGTTTGAACTGCAAGTTTGATGGTTCAGACTCACCAGTCATTTCTCAGAAACCCTTTACAGAGTGGCTATGAGTTGGAACTGATTCAACGGCACTTAACAACAACAACAACAGAGAAACTGATGGCACATCCACTGCTAACAAAAAGATTGGTGGTTCAAGCCCACCTAGCCGATCCTCAGGATAAAGACCTGGCAATCTGCTCTGTAAAGACTGCAGCCTAGAAAACCTTCGGGGCACTTCTACTCTTCACATGGTGTCACTAGAAGTCAAAAATCGACTCAACAACACAAAATATCTACAATATAGATAGATATTCTTTTTTTACTGTGATGTACCAGACATGTACATAGGTATATGCGGTGTGTGTTCATGTGTGCACATGCAAGTGTGTCTCTGAGGGTGTGTACATGAAATGTGTATATGAGTTGAACCCAGCCTGAGAGTATTAAGGAAGGCTTCCCTGGGGAAGTGATGTTTGAGGCTGAAAATTGTACCTACTGTGAGTTTGGCACTGTTTCTTGTTCCTAAGGATAGGTCAATAAGAAAGATAAAGTCATTGCCTTAAGATTAGAATTTTAAAATAATCCCTCAGGCTGCTCAGGGAAGCATAGGTTGGAGTGAATTCAGAATGCTGCCTTCCTCCTTCTTAGCAGACAAGTCCTGATTTAAACCAAAAAGTCACTGATTGTTATTAAAAGATCTGAGGAGACTACAGAAAGAATGCCCAAGTGGACAGCTCAGGTGGAAATGGTTGGGAAACCTTGGGTCCTGAGACCAGATAGAAAGTAGAGACTTAGGAGGAGAGAGGCAACAAGTCTTGGCGTAACAGAGGACAGAAAGGGCCAAATCTGAGAATAGTTCCGAGAAAACTTGAACAGCGACAGACTTGACCAAGTAAAGATAAGGAAGGACTTCTAAACATCAAGAGAAAACAACACATATGAATGAGCCCTTCCCCTGCAAACCCCTGTCCTTTACCTTGAAGGACTGGGGGGAGGGAGGCAGAGGAGTGAGCCCTCAGTTTGCATATTCAGCAAGACCCAAGTGAGTGTCACATAGAGAGGCTAAGAAGTCGCTGGAATGTAACTAATGCTAATGTTGGACCTGTGGTCAACTTGCTTTGTCAGAAAAAGATTGCCCTTGTCTTTGGTCTACCTGCTGAGGTAGATTTATGTGTGTGTACCCGTGTGTGTGTGTGTGTGTGTGTGTGTACCCGTGTGTATGTGTATGTGTGTAACAGCTTTGGTTATCTGTCTGTGTCTTTGAATAGGTGGGCATTTCTGTGTATCTGTGTCCTTGTCTGTGTGGTAATGACCTTGTCTCTAAGCATGTCCTTGCAGTATGTGTGTCCTTGTATTAAGAGTGTCCAGCCTGGCTTAAAATGCTACATGCATCCTTGCCTCATCCTGGTCTCTGTGTGCAAATCACCCATGTGTCCACATCTATATATGTGTCTTTGTCTGCTTGAGTGGTATATGTTTGCATCTTCTTTTTTTGGTACGTCCTCTGTGTCTGCCTTGTGTTTCTGTGTGTGTATAACAGGATAGTGTTGCCTGTATTGATGTGGT